AAATGCAATGTGTATGTCCTCTGTCACACCGCACTGCAACCGTCAGAGCAGTTTGTTTAGTCCTTTTTTTTTTTAATGACAGTCTGGGGTGTTTTAAAAACAGAGGTGGAGGTTTTGATGGGATATTAGGCTATACTGTTTTATTTTAATAGGTTCCTAGAAAATAAGAAAAGGTATTTTATGGCCATCAAGGGAAATATATATAATGTAACTTGCTTATTTTAGTTTTTATAACTTTAGTATTTTGTGTCATTCCGGTATTTAATTTTATGAATATACTGTATGTTAATTAAAGTAAACGATACTAACAAACTCAACATTTTGTTACAAAGAAAATAATAGAACTTAAAAGGGAAATAATTAATGCCTGTACAAACCAAGAATTATTTAGAGGACAAATTAATTGAAGTCTATCACCTATAGTAAAAAATTAATTTTTTACCTGTTTTAAATTTGACTTGTTATTGTCTTAATTAAATTAATTTTTTGAACTGTTACTCTATCAATTAAATCAATTTTTTGAACTATTACTGCCTTAATTAAATCAAAACTACTGTCTTAATTTTGAATTGTTACTGTCTATGTCTTAATTGAATCAATTTTCTGAACTGTTACTCTATCAATTAAATCAATTTTTTGAACTATTACTGCCTTAATTAAATCAAAACTACTGTCTTAATTTTGAATTGTTACTGTCTACACTTCACCGTGTCAATTAAATCAATTTTCTGAACAGTTACTATCTCGATTAAATTAAAATTTGTCTTAATTTTGAACTGCTATTGTGTAAACTTTAATGTCTTAATTAAATCAAATTTGAATTGTTAATGTCTCAATTAAATCAATTTTTTAAATTATTATTGTCTTAATTAAATCAAAATTATTGTCTTAATTTTAAACTTACTAACAATAATGACTTTCGAACTGTTACTGTATCAATTTTGAACTGTTACTGTTTTATATTACTCTCTCAATTGAATCAATTTTTTGAACTGTTACTGTCTCGATTAAATCAAAACTACTGTCTTAATTTTGAACTGTTACTGTCTACACTTTACTGTCTCAATTAAATCAATTTTTTGAATTGTTACTATCTCGATTAAATCAAAATTTATCTTAATTTTGAACTGTTATTGTGTAAACTTTAATGTCTTAATTAACTCAAATTTGAACTGTTACTGTCATCATGACGTCACAGTTTTGTCAGCATGAACAGGTGGCATGACATGTCAGCAACAGTCAGCAGCCACGTCAGCAATGTGGGACCCACAGCCACGTCACAAGCCGCGAGCCAAGAGTGAGCTGAGTTAAAGACCAGTCAGTAGCCACGTCAGCATTGTGGGACCTACCTACCATGTCACCAGCCACGAGCCGAGAGTCAGCCGAGCCGAGTGGAGCCGAGCTGAGTTGAGGGATAGGATTCTGTGTAGTGGGAGTCTACTGCAACCGATTCTGAGATTGAATCTGGGCCGTTTATCAAGCCAGAATTGTTTTGATCAAATCTTAGCCGTCTGAAGTGCTATTTGGACGATTTAAGACTTGTTTCCATTAGTCAACAGTCTTCTATTATGCTCCCTAATCCCCGTCCACCTTTCCTTCCATTCCCACAAAGCAACAAAAATAATAAATGAGAAGATTAAGTTAATAATTACCTGATGGTGATTCTCCTTCATCTAATTCATACTCTGAGCACCTAATGCAACTCCACTGATCACTTCAAACCATAAACACATTAACGGGTGCACAGGTTTTATAAACAAAATAATAAAATCAGTCACTTGACTATAAGATATTGAACTTTCCTCCTCAACTTCTATTAATTAAGATATCCATTTAAATTTCTTCCAACTGAATATAGATAACAACTAACACAGATTTGGTTGGATGTACCCCCATAAAAAGTTAACTATTCAAATGATAATCTACAATGCTTGTATTATTGTTTTCATGCTTTAAACAATCCATGTTATATCCTAAATATTTTAGCAAAAGCAAGTACAAACACAAATCCTATGAATTTGTTGCTGATCAGGTGAGTTTTAAAATTTATTTTGTGTTCGGATGTGTTTAACTGTTTTATTTTTTCTACAATGCTTGTATTATATCCAGCACCAAAAATATCCTGAGAATCTAATGGAAGGTTTTAACATTTAAGTTGCGGCGATTGAGGGATTGTTTTCAAAAGTATAACAGTGAATTAAAGAAACAAGATAATAGAATAACACTAGCAGATTAATTGAAAAAAAAAAATATAGTTATTCCATACCATTTCAAGGTGACTTTCGGATTTGAGGTGCAGACAAGACCTGAAAGCAAACATACGATCTCTGCAGAATCTTCTTTTGTCATCTCCTATACAAGCAGCAACGGTAGTAGAAAAACCATTTTATATTTCAACTGCTTAAGTTGTTGATTTTCTTGAACAGCAAAAAATCTAAGTAGACTATCTTTCTTACAAACACAGACTAACCGACCCTATTCACAGAATACAACCACCTTCGCCCCAAGACCTGGAGGATCCTTATGATTTGATACTGTTTACTAAGGCATTTGGCTTGTCTAATGTATGAATTCAGTTGCTGAAAGGTGAAATGGGATTGAAAATACATATTGTGACCTACACTGCATTGTCTCTCCTGAATGAATTGATCAAGACCATCACCAGCCCTCTCAAAAATTTCAAGCAACTGCAATGCAGACATCATATCTTGCTTATCTGTAAACATCTTGTTCGATGTCATGTTTTGCTTATCCATATGTATCTTTGTCGATTTTCCCAATTGTTGCATCTCTTTGTCAATCAGCCTCTCAATCTCGCTCATTAAAAATTGGCGAATCTTACTTCTACCACAACTAGCACCATATTTACTGTCAAATGAGTCCACGACCATCACCTTTTTCCAGGCCACCATCAACAGAGCAGCCACCTGAACCACTCCTCCTTCTCTGGCATAATAGCAAACCAACTCCCCAATCTCCTCAGTTTTGTCCAATTGTGACTTGATTGTCTCTAGTAATTTTCTCTGTCATTCAGACAAGAGATTCCGATAATAATGATCACAAAACAAGGAAAGAAAATACAATATAAAATTTCAAGCACCAACCGAGTCCATTGAACCAAGTGCGTAAAGCAATGAGGTGACTGGTTTTTCAGAAGTCCAATCCCTTAAACAGATATTTTGGCTGCAACAGAATAATTAGTTTCAAATAAACCCACCAATCAAGCAAGAACAGAAACAAAAATGTTTAGGTTTCATTTGCTTGCGGAAAAAAGGTTCATACCTTTTCCACGTTAATTAGTTTTATGCAAGTATAAAAACAAGAAAACATATTTGCCTGGAATTAGTTGCAATATATGAAACAAAGGATCTTTCCCGGTTTAACATAAAAAGGAAAAATACAGAGGTACAAAACAAGCAGACCCAAGTTCTCTATCACATAAAAATCCACATGAAAATCTAGAACATTTTTTTCATAGATAAACACACCCTCAACACCTTTGCAAAGCTTTATTGAGTTGTCTATCAGTTGAATACAACTATTTAAGATCTCTTAGTTGTACCATAATAATTTTAGATCTTTGTCCAGTGATGCATCGGGCTTGAAGTCAATCTTGTTATACTTCATTCCATTGCATCGTTGTGATTGGAAGATTGGATTCTTTCTCCACTTTGCATAACTGCTGATGTTTAAAGAAGATCCCTTCAAAGGCAAGGTACACAATAAAATCAGGCCAAATTTGCAAGATGCACACCCACAATGAAAAGAAAGTTTTGCGCAAGCTCAATACATTCCTACAACCTAGAACATTGAGTGTTTGCTAATGCATCAAATGTGCATTTGGACTTCACATGAGCTTTTGAGCTCTTTTCAATCAATTTGACATACTCGTATAAAAGCCACCAAGCATCACTCGGTTCATGCCTTTTCAGCCCAAACTAACTTCAAAAAAGCCCCTTCAAACACATTGCCATACATAGCATAACTAGAGCATGAAATACACTGCTTTCATTTAGTGTTTAGGTGTTCTATAAAATATTTTCTCAGAAAAATGCCAGCTGTAAAGAAAATGTTTCCTCCGAAAGGAGTATTTTCAAATTTTCCAGTTTTGTGGAAATAAAAAAGATATACTCCCAAAAATTATACTTTATTAAACGAAGTATGTGGTTCGACAATCTTCTATATTTAAAATACAAAAATAATTAAAAATTTCTTTTGTCAATCTATCGAAAATAGTGATGAAATTGAGTTAAAAAACAGGGATTAAAACATGCAAACAGCACTCATCTATTCAAAATTTATTCATTAAATATGGTTAACTTCACTCCTGCTGGAAATCCAGAAGGCAAAGCAGTAAGAAATTATAGGCAACTACTGGAAGAAAAACACATTCAACATGCTAGCTCTCACCACAAATAGAAAACAACAATTTCAACCTTACCAATTGATAGCTTTTTTCTGCATTCTTTCTAGCAATCCAGACTTGACCGAAATCCAGTAAACTTGGCCATGAAAAACTATGAAAGTTCAAAAAGAAATAAAAGATGAGATAACAAACGAATACCTTTCCTATGGAGCCCCCCAAAAAAAATGATCATACAAAACAAAATATTAACAAGCAATTCCAAAAGACAGATTGATCTGAAAGAAATGATATATTTGCAATGGCAATCATTAGCCAGCCAGAAACAGCATGAAGATCCAACCTTTCAACGTGGTGCATATCAGTGTCCTTGTCATCCAAACAAAAGCCCGCTTCTTGAAGTGCTCGGGCTACTTGTTCTTGTGGCATCTACAGGGGAAAAGAGGGATTCCATCAAATGAAAATATGTTAATCATTGAAAAATATACGATAGAAAAACATGTTAACGCAGTGAATTGTTGTTAGAATCTTACAAGTAACGATTCTAGTCTTATGATTATTCTCCAATCACAAACAAAACAGCGCAAGTTGTAGGTTGTGAGGTGAATCGCAAGTGCACATGAATTAGGCGAATTGGTTTCGCTTCAACTTTATTCAGCGTAACTAGTTCAATTTTATGAGTTAACTCAAATAGAAACTAACACGGTAATTTTAGAATAGATGGTAGCAAGAGAAATGCTAAGCCTAGAAGGCATGGATGATGACAACAAATACACAATATTCTTCTTTGGTAAATCATAATGTTCAAAACTAAAACCAATTAGACATAGATTTTCACAAGGGAAAAGGTGAAAGAAAGCAAGTGTGACAAAGACAGGAGGAGTGACAATATCGATAAAAAAAAAAAGGAATTAAGACCATAGCAGCACTAGCATGGGCCAACACATACCAACAAACAATGCCAAGAAATTCCAAGAAAATCATCCAACCAACCTGGTTTTGAAGATAACTCTCAATGGTGGTGATTGGACAATCATACTCGCCACAAAAGCTCATGGGATCACAACCATCCTGAGAGAAAACAGTGAAAAGAAAACATGTGTTACTATTATTACTGCTAACAGCAAACGAAAACTTCATACAAGCTAAAATCACCACGCAACGATTTGCTCTGGTAGCAAAGCCCAAAATCTCTGAGGTAGGCGGTTAAAGTCTCTCTCTATTGCAAGGCTCACAGAGGTCTTAGTGGGTTGAAGGTTCTGTTCAGACCATGTCGGTCCTTTTCTAGCTGTGATTCTACCCCATTAACACCCGACTTTCAAACCCTAAAATTGCTGCTTAATAAATAAATAACTAAAGCGTTTTAAAACAAAATGCATACATGGTTCTGAACGTGATTGTGGGAATCTTCATCGGAATCATAATCTTCTTCTTCGATTCTTTGCAACCAAAAAATAAAAATAAACTCATCCAAAATAAATAAGTTAAACAAGAAGTATGAAATAATATGTTTAAATAAATTTCCTTCGAATAAGAAACGTATTAAAAAAAAAGGAGTCTTATGTAAGGATTACGGACATCACCTATCTCCACATTGGTATAATATTGTCCACTTTGGGACTAAGCCCTCATGGATTTGCTCTTGGGTTATACCCAAAAGGCCTCATACCAATGGAGATATTTGTCCATCCTTATATACCCTTGATCCTCCCCATTTCTAACCAATGTGGGACTTTGGTCGCATACCCAACA